TAGGTCACAGCTTCCCAAAGGTCGAAGGGATGATAGTTTTCTTTACACAAATCTGATCTTCCCACACACAATGAAGCCTCTGCCAGGTGAGGCAATTTTCTTCCAGAATCTGAACGGCACTGATGTATTTGTTTAGGAGGAAATGTTCTACTGGGGGTGGAGGGGACTAATACAGACAATTAAACAGTATAAGCAATGCCTATCATCTTTTTTTCTCCCATAAGTATAATAAAGGCAGGTTAGAAAGTGATTTGGAATCTAATGATATTTGATTGCCAGAAGAATCATAACAGCAAAAGAATTTATAAAACTTTTTCAATCATCAATATTCATTCAATCAAATAAATACATTTTAGAAAAAAAACAACATAAAATGTTTTCGATTTTCCCTATTCTTTGATTAAAGCAGCAAATATTCAACAATCCTCTGTAATATTAAACATTTTCAATAAAACTAGTGATATAGAAGTGTTCTCCTCCCACACAGGACTGAGGACTGGAGTTAGAAGAATACTGTAGTCTAGAAACAGCTACCTTGCCCAAGCACGCCAGCATCACTGAGTGCCCACGGGCTCCATGTCCTTTGCATCTAGATGGAAACAGATCTCAGGAAACCCAAGATCATTGGCTGAGTCTAAAAATAATAATTATTTGTCATGATCATTGTCAGTCCTTAACATCTTGTACACCACTGATTACAGCTTAACTTGGCCATGCTGCTTCATGCTTGGGAGAAGACAAACCACTAATCAATTGTGGACACTAATTGAAAATGCTACCTTGTAGAGGCATTTTAATAACTTAGTAATGGGGTGAAGTGTTCCCTCTAACTGATACTTTAAAATGGTTTCAATAACAAAAAGGTCAGCCAGGGTGCACGCAGCCTTTGCGAACATGAAAAGCTGGTCTGAATAAGTGACCAAAGCTCCCCTGGAAGGGGCGGGACAATCCTGCAAGCGGTGGAGGTCATATGGAAAGTAGAATTATATGCTAACTTGTTCCTATATTAAGTTATCATAGAAGGTCAGGTGAAACACCGCAAAGTGAATGCTGGAAAAAGTGAAGTAGACTGCTATGAACCATGGCAGAGTAAACTTTGTCTTAATACAAACAAGAAAGCTTTTGAAAGCAGGGTCTTTCTTCCGTTATTATTTCTAGATAATCACATACGTCATTTAAAAACAAAAGTGTTTTCTACAAATAGTTCTTCCCTAAAGAACTGGGACAGGATTTTAAGAGAGAAAAGAAATAGAGAACGGTCTAATATTCAAGGGAATAATTTTCTTCACAAAACAAAACAAACTTTAACTATTTAAATTAATTTACAAAGATAATTCTCCCTGCACTGTTGAATGAAGACATACACACTAAGTGGTGGGGCCATAAGTTACTACTATAATGCTTTATTTTTCCCCAAATAAACTAAACAACAATAGAGGTGTTTCTGCTTAACATAGTGTGGTCTGAGGAAAAGATACCTTATTTCAAAATCTATTGAGGGAAACTGTACTTTTGTCCTTAAAAGATAAAATTCCATGGCTATTACACTAACTTAAAAACTTTAAATGCAATATAAATGGCTGAAGACTCTAAGATACTGGTTTCAATGGCACATCCCTCATATTTATTTCCAAAGTCCACTTAGAGGAAGAGAGGAAGAACCTGGGGGGGGGGGGTTTGTAGAGATGAGCCCTTGGACACAGGCAGTCAAAGATACAGCTTTTCATAATATACCCAGTTTTCTGTAGGGCACAACAAAACAAGTGACAGAGGCCACCTGTGCCACACCTTAGGCAATTCTTGGGGACAACATGAAATCACAATTCTGTGTTGGTCCTCTTCTCCACTTAGATATTCGTTGCATTGTCAATTTCTTCTCCACATGTCCAGGGCCAGCTCATAAGGGAGTAAGCACAGTTGGCCAAACTTCCCTCAAATCAGCTTGTTTTTAATTTCTAAAAAGATTTTACATAGTGATTTTATGACTTAGTTGCCATAAAATGGGCTGTTTCCATGAAATATCATTGTGTTATCATCATCTTTGAATGTGTCTTTCCCAGGTAAATGTCACCAGCTTAATTCACAACACTTTCTCCTGCCACGGGAGCCATGGGGATATGAGTTAGACCTAAAATTTTCACACATTCTGATGTATAAATACATGGGCATTTATTTCTTCTTCGAAGGATTTTATGTATTGACATCTTAGTTCATAAAAAGGCCAAGATCATGGGAAAGAAGGGAACAAAATCGGACAAAAATGAAGGCCTGCGATGATGTCTAAAAACCAGCACTCGGGATTAATCGTCACAGTGTCAAGACAGAGGTGGCCTGCCATGAAACACTGCACATCAAATACTACAACAACCCATGTGAAATGTCTTAATACACCCCATGTCATCTATAGACGGCTGTGTGTACACCTTTATTTTAATGTGGAAACTGTCCAAATATTAAGCCAGTTAAAAACAGCATCAGACAAATCAGCACCTAGTCTATGACTAAAATGAAGGCTCAAGATAAGATGAGAAGAACCCTTAAAACCAAGGACCCGGCCTCGAGACCCCAGTTATCACAGCGACACCGTCATTCTGGTGGGCTGCTTATGAAAACTGCATTTCCCTAGCTAGCTGGGAGGAATGAAAAGCTTCTTACAACCAGCTAAAAAGAAAGTCTCTTCCGTGCCCCTTGAAAAAGCTCATTTTCACATTACTCAGGCTTCATTATGCTAAATCAATATTCGTTTAGTCACTGGGGTTATTGACATATTTTAAAATAAAAGTATACCCTTCAGCTACTGCACTCATTACAGGTAATTTGTCTTGTCAGAGAGCAGGGAATATTATCTTAGTCTTTCAGGGGCTGACAGCCCATGGAAATACCTCCCCATGGTTACAACTGTAAATAATTTTAAGGTAAAATATTGAAAAATCAATGACTGCTTCCTGCAATCTGTCACAAACAAATCAATCATAATCTGTCCTGCCATCGAGTATGATTTGAAGGAGATGGGAGCAGATGTAATTCCTGGCTGGAGTCTCTCATCTCAAATCACTTCACATAATGGTGTCATCATTTAAACACTTAACAGTCAGGGCAACGGCCGCTGTAACATTGAGTTGGACAAAACCACGAGGAGGAGGAGGAGGAGAAAATGCCATCACTATTATGTTAACAAACATTTAATTGAAATGGTTGGTGCATTAGTAAATTTCCGCTGTGAACAGTTTTACCTGCCCCTTTCACAGCTCGAAATTAATCAAGGCTGCTTCCCCATGTCCTGACGGGTAGGAAGTTAGCCTATGACTCGAACTGTACTCTCTAAAACACTTGTGCTTTTTACTTAAAAAAAAAAAAAACTATAGAAAACAAAATTTGGAATTAATAAATAAGACACATAGATTCCAGAATATTCTACAATTCTATCCCTATAACAATGACAAAAAATAGAATTATATAAGTCAAGATCATAATTTCATGACCTAAAAAATTGGCAGAAAGGTCTCAGATGCCCAAAGGTTGAATTGTACATTTTCCTTCTATTAATAAACATATTTCAACTTTGTAATGTTGTAGTGTTCTAAATGACCAGTGAGACCTAGTCAGCTTGAAAACATGGCGTCCTCTAAACAAAAGCTGTACCATCAACTGCTGTATTAAAAGCAAGAGTCATAATCCAGCCATGCCAGGTGGGAAGCCGGTCATGGTCATGATGCTGAATTGCTGCGCCAATGCAAACTGCGTTCCAAGTGAGCACTCTGCTATCAGCATTTTCTGACTACATTGTAATGGTTCCCCAGCTGCTGACACCCTGCGAGAGAACATGGGGAAAGGCATTTGAAACTAATATTCCCCGCTCTGCTCCAGGGCTCCCCCAACATCACTGAACTTCCAGACTACCCGGAGTCTTTTCTGAAGGTTTGTGATTGTAAATGTGCTCTAGTACCTTTAATGGAAGAAATCAATTTGAGCTACCACATTTCTTACCATTTTCCTAATTATATAATTAGACACCATGAAGCCCTTTATTGTTTTATTAATGTCCCTTACTAGATATAGGTCAGGGGCTAGAAATTTGTGATGACAGGGAAAATGTTGCCTTTCTTAAAAAGAAAAACAAACAGATATAAACACTATTAAACGATTGAGGTCTGTGTCAACATTCCCAGACAAAGTAATTGCTCTCCTGAATGGCCTGATTTATAACTGAACCTTCTTGGTCAACGTGGTAACACAGGGCCAGATGACAGAGCCTCTCCTGAAGATATAGTTGGAGCCCAATGTTGTTTTTCAGGAATCTTAGATTTCAATGCCAGCAGCAGGTTTGAAGACAAAAATGCACATGGGTAAAGTATCAGAGATGCCATCCAGAATGCAGCGAGCCTTCTATTCGGTGTGAGCCCCTGCAACAGCTGCAGAGTACACAGTAGCCAACCTAGTTTAGTGGGAAGGGAAAAGCCTGGCCAGGGTTTCTGAAAGCTAACAGAGCTCGGGCTGGAACCAGGCAAAGAAACCATGGCCCGCTATCTCCAGTCAGCCTCTCACTGGGTCTCTGCATCCCAGGGACAACCTGCAAGTCTTCCCCTGTGCTGGGCTGGTGGTGGAGGGGTTGCTGGTGGTCAGCCACCATGGAGAACACACCCCTAGGTAAATGCACCAAAGAAATAGGAGGTAAATGAGGACAGTTGGACAACAGGCTGAGCTCATGTCAACCCCAAACTGAAATGTCATCTGCTAGAGCTGTGGAGGACGCCATCGCAGATCTAATTCGCAGAAAGAGGCTATTTTAAGGGTGCTGAGTAGGCCGAAATGCTATTTCTCAGCTCTCTAAACACAGCCCGTGGCCCTGGGAGAAGCAGGCTCAGAAAGTTAGTGGAGAAAAACAGGATGGTTCCCAAAGCTCAAAATGAAAGAAACTGTGGTCCATTGGACAGAGTTGTCATGTATGATAAAGGTTCAGGGCTGCAGAGAAAAGTGCTCTTGACGATAGATAGTATTACCTCCCTGTCTTCCGAATCACCTTCTTCCACAGGCAGTCAGGAGCTCCATTACCAACTGCGATTCTTAAAGAGAAAACGGCCACAGTTAGCTTCATCTCTCCTACCGCTTCCTTCCTTCATGGAATTACAATTTAATTACTGATAGCTCAATTGATTTTATTCGTGGATGATACATTTCTTAAAAAGCACACTCCTTAGCTATCTCCACTAAAGAACATTTAGTACAACCTTCTCAATTAATCAGCCATAACCCATTACTTCAAAAAGGATGGCTCTTGATATTTTCAAGAGTGCCCCCCACTGCAAATATTTCATATAAGACGAAGAATTCTAATGCATTTGAATACCTTTAATGAAACTTGAGTCATGATAGTAAATCCAGCTCACAACAGATATGAAACTTGATAAACCTGAATGCTTAAATATTTCATTCATATGTATCTCTCTCAATATTTATGCTTAGGGAAAAAAAAAACCTCAATCCTCTTATGTTTAAATTCAACAACTCTATCATGGCTTAAATCAGAACAGACCCCTAAGCTTAAAGGTAAACAAAGAGGAATCCTATTTGTGCCTGCCTACCATTTTCTTTACATTTGTGCTGAGCTTCTAGCTTGCTGTAATGCTTTAGCCTGAGTTTCCATAGGTTCCAATCAGTATGGGGAACACAAGTCTATTATTTACAAACAATTAAATAGTATTTCACATTACAGCAAGAGCACGCTAATGTCTACAACAATTCATAGAGAAGCATTCGTTCTAGCAAAGGCTAGACTAACTAGACTGCCTTCAGTAAAATTATCTTATGGGTGTGGGGTCAGCCACCAACTTTATTGATAATAAATGTTGTAATTTACTAAGTCCAGTTCCTTGCTCTATTCCTTAGACAGCACAAATATTCTGCAAAGTAATTCTTTCTCAAAGCCTTACTTCTTCACCTATACCCAGAGCCCTGTTTTTAATAACAATGACAGGTTTTGCATATACCTGTATACTTTCTATAATTAAGAGCTTGATGCCAATGGCTGAAGATAGTGCTAAATTTATTCTTAAAAGAACCAGATCATAAATATAATTCCAAAATGTGATTTGTTGTAACTATTATCTCCTTTAAATAGTAATTTAAATTCTATTAAATATTACAACCTTGGTCTTGATTTTATTTGTAAAAACCTGTTTATAAATCTTACTACCCAATGATATAATTCAAATAAATTATTCAATAAAATTCCAAAACAAATGATAAATTATTCAGACATTCCACAAATCAACAATTTTTAAATTTACCAAATTCCTGTTTAGTGCACTAATAGAATTCTAATAATCAAAGATCTCCAGTGGCATTCACCCACCATCCACACTTAGCACCTATTATAACATGTATACTCTACTGAAGCCACCTTGGTGCTATTTGGGAGCGTCACATACAGTGGGAGTGTACTTATCTGCACACCCAAAGCATGCAGATAAGTCTTGGTATGTGCAAGAACACATTTCAGTCCATATGTGAAATAACACCATATTCTGGAAGTGAATTTAGCTTAAATATCCAAATATATTATAGAAACATTGTACTTGTCACCTGTACAGGAAATAGAAAAGACTCTGTGTAAGAGAACACAGAATACTAGCAATACTTTGGGGATATTAGATATGAACGGCTAATCCAATTTTCTCCAAGGTATCACTCCATATTATGGTAAATAAACAAATAAGAGCTGTATCAAGGTGTGGAATATCATTAGCCTGAGAAGAGGCTGGAAAACGGATTATACAAATGACAACTGCAGGAGAAAATGATATTCTCCTTTCCTGAACAAACGTTAAGTGCATTCTCACTAATAAAGACTTACACTCAAACTATGTTACAATATACTGGTTTTCAATTTTGAAGCATCTAAGTTGATTTGCAAGCTAAATTGTTGCTGAGGTGTACTAGCGCTATGAAAACACAGCCAATTTATACAGAAATAAGTCATCAGTGTTGCACTTCCGAGGAGAGCTGTGAAAGCAAACTAGTCATTACAGAACAAGGGAAAAAAAATCACCCCTAGGTTTTACATGTTCATAGAGATGTGTCAGCTGCTGTTCTGTTAAGAACAACTATTCTCTACCCAAATGATGTTAAAAACAGAGGCTAATGCAGTGTAGAAACTGAAGAGGAATAGATGAAGACAGACATGCTACCACTCAAAGCAGGTGGTGCTATTTCAGAATTAAAATGTTGTTCCAACTATGACACTGTGCTCATAATCTATTTTAAACAACCCATTCAATTCACAAAGGATTACATGATTTCATTCATTTCCAGCTCATCAACTAAAGAACATTTTAATCTTTCCTAAGATTTCTAGAACTTATAAACATTCATAATTGTATTATTAATTAAAATGGATAATTCATTTGTATTAATATTCCATATCTTTTAACACAATATATTTAGTTTTAAAATAACACATGCATAACAGCATAAAAGATAGGGACTGTAGCTGCCAGAGAAAAACATTCGATGAAGGGGTCTGGGGGAATAATAAAGCAATTATCTCAAAATTAACGCTCTTGTTTCAGTTTCAGCAAACAAATCTAAGTAAGTCTTCCTTTGATTCTAGTTCCCCGTGTAATTCTAACCAGCTAATTATCCTTGAAGTCAAGAATGAGCCATGACTCTACACCTGGCCCTTCCCATCATATGCCCACGGTCCCCTCCACTTTCATTTCCTCTTTCTACCCTGAGGTTTAATATTGAAGGAAAGCACGGCCACATCTTACACAAATGCTGATTGACAGCCAGCTTCCAGGAAATGTCGAGCTACAAAGAGGAGGGGAATTTTAATGTAGCACTTATGTTAAAGGGTACGAGGTGCAGGGTAAGCCAAGGGCAAGTGGCCACCAGCATCCCCCATGTCATTGTCTTCACACTGAGAGATTCCTAGCTAAGGATGGTGATACTATTTTAACCATTACCCAGGTCATAAATTGGATTCTAAACTAATACTGTATCATCATTTGCTCACCAGTTAAAATACATAATATAGTATTTTGGAAGGAGTAAAAGTTTCCCTCTGTTTCTACAAATGAAAACGAGCCGTTCCATAAACATTGTAGCTATGCACTTCATTGAAAACCGAATTGTTTTAGATCATGAAGGCACTTGGGGAGACTGTTTCCTTCCCCAAACCTTAAAAGGCATTCATTTCTCATCTATTACCTTTTCCTTAGATCCCTTTTCCTTGCACACTGAACGTGTCTTCCTCAACAGACTGGTTTTGACCACTAATGAATGTCTGCCTAACAATACAGCCCTCTAGTTTATGCTTCGCTTTCGAAATTAGAAGCCATTACTCCACAAAGACAGAGTACAAAGAGAGCCGACACAAGGTATTGCCAAAAAGCCACAAGTAGTATTAGAACATGCCAGAACACTTAACATTCAACTATCATTCCTCTCTAAAACTTCTGTTGCCAAACTGCTCACAAAACCTGGAGGCTCAAAGACAGGTTTCCAGTGCAATTAAATTCTCCAGAAGCAAAACTGTACAAAATTATGCCCTCTTCGTATGTCTCCATTTACAGACAACATTTTCTCTGGATCTTCATTAAGATAACGATGCACACCTGTGTCAACATTCTCCCGTAAGACAGCCTTATCAATCATAATCCTTTAAGTACACTCGAAAACAGCAAAGCGATATGAGAGAAGCAATCTGTTGCCTTTCCTGATGCCGGTGTTGTATCTCTGCCACAAGAAAGATGAGATCTTTAAAATCCAGCAGATCTGCTTTTCTAAGTCTTTAAAGTTTTAACTGTAAACAGCTATTACACTAAATAAACAGGCATCCCCTCCTTTGTACTTGATAGAAACAATGACAACTCTACTTGTCCAAAACTTGAAGAGCAAGCTCCGTGCCACATCTTGGCAGAGCAATCGGGGTCTTATTGTAAAGCTCTATGTTTTAAGAGCTAGGCATAACTGGATCCGTGCAGACATGACAAACCAATAAACCCTTGGCAAGTTTTAAAATGAAGCTTAACAAGGCTACATTAAAAACAACCAGAGCAGCCTACCCCGAGTACATGTTTAGAAATACACGAATGCAGCAGTCAGGGAAATAAAAAGTCTTGGTGACTTGATCTGAGGGAAGATAGGTCCTACCTCTGCTCGTGGAAAATGAGCTTCAGCAACAAGAGAGCCGGAACTACAGCTAACAAGTGAGCAAGTCCCCAAATGGAAAAGCTGATGAACGGGAAGGAAAAGGGGTGTGTGTGTGTGTGTGTGTGTGTGTGTGTGTATATTGGGGGGGGGTGTCCATCCTCCCTCAGTATTAAGATAAAAAGTTAAAACCTTATGTTTACCAAGTGAGAATACAAATGCTTTCTTATAAACAGGGAGAAAGGCCGCCAGATGCTATCCGAATTCCGTCTGCCAGCTAATGATCAGCCTTAGCCTTCCCTCACTTATTAACACAATTCTGTATCTGCCACAGGCGGCTGAGGCCAGCGGAGCAGCAGAGCCATCAATGTGCAAATAAAGCAGAAAATAGAGACATCCTTAAGAAATGAGCCTTAAATTTGATGTAGAACGGAGGTGACAACCACGGAAACAGAACCATAAATTCTAAATGTTTCAATATCTTGCAGAATTCTTTCTAGTCCTTCACACCCAAAACAAGACAGTAGTAGAAAAAATAGGGTGGGGAACAAGCTGGGGAGGGGGAACAGAAACAGCCAAGACACCCAAGCGGCAGGATTATGTAATGAGGATGTCTGCGTGACAGACTCGGGCTCTCGGTGGCACAAACCTCCTTGGCTCGCTTTCAGAAGTCGTCGTCCTGGACGAGAGCCGAGACACTGATTCAGGGGGACACGCGTGGGCCCGAGGGACACGCCCACGCGCGCCTGCCTGCACGCGGACTGAAGCACCCGCATGGCATGTCCCAGGCTCTAGCGGCCCACGCGCGGGGCCCGGCCGCGTCCACGCCATCGGCTTGGTGCGCGGCTCTGCGCGGGCCGCGGACGCTCCCTCGTGGCAGGCCTCGCCGACCGTTAGCCGGGCTGAGCGGGCGGAGCCGGGGGCGGTGCGGTCGCGGGAGGCGGGGACCCTCGCGTCGGGGCGGGGACACTCCCTGCCGACACTCGAGCCTACCCGGAACCCGGAACGGTCAGCCCGAGAAGCAGTCTCGGGCCGTCGCGCGCTCCCCGGGGCTCCGGCCCCGCGCGCCGCTCCGTCTGGCTCACAGCCGCCCGCTTCAGCCGCGGACAGCTTCTGGTCTCCATGACAATACGCAGCCGAAGCCACGCCCAACCACGCCCCCTCGGCGCTGGGACTCCGAAGGAAGCGCCTGCGTCATCGAGAGGTGGGTCTAATGGAGGCCGGCGCCCAATCAGAGGCGAAGGCTGTGTAAGGGAAGGGCGGGGAGGGCCCAGAGGTTCTCGGAGAATGTAGTCCGCAGGGGTCCAACCTCTTGGGGGCGGAACCTTGCAGCCCGAGTGCCGGGCAAGGGGCAGCCTGCGCGCGTGCGTGAAGGCGCGCCGCAGAGCTGGTCCCGGTGTGGTCAGGGTGGGGTTTGTGAGTGCTGTGGCCCCCAGCTCAGCAAACTGTGTGTCCCGCGGGTCAAAAATCATTGCGCGAAACTTTGTGTGTAGTTATGCTCCAGCTTGCGCGTTGCCGGGTTGTGAAAGGCCACAAAATGCTTGGGTTGTGCGCTCTGCCGGCCGCGGTCCTGGTTCACCAGCGCCCCTGTCTGTCCCTGAGCTCCAGTGCGTTTGTAATTTGCGGCGGCGGGAGGTGGAGACCAGGGGTGAGGGTCTGTTTTGCCTTCTCACTGTGTTGCCGTTTGGTGTGGTGGGGAGGCAAGGGGGACGACAAGAGGTCTGCCTGTGACTCAGTGTTGTGTGTTTGCCTGGCCAGCGCCTCGCTGAACAAACAGCGGTTGGGTTGGACACTGTTCTGCCCAGTGTTTGCAGTGGAACTGGGGCGGGTGCGAGCGACGGGGAAGGCGACTTAGTGGAACAAAAGGGAAGAGATCCCACACCCTCCGTCACAACAGACCTGGCAGGGCGAGCTGCCTGTAGCTAGCCATGAGAAGCAGGCAACGCTGCGTGGGATGGCAATGGGGTCGGAGGCGACTGGGAGACCTACTCGGGTGTAACTGCTTCTCCGCCTGGCACGTCTTGCCCACTGTCTCCCTTGGTTCAGAGAAAAGCCACACCCCCACCCAAAGCCCCCCGAGTCCTCTCGCCTCCTCTAGCCGCCTGGCAAGGGTTGGTGGAAGGAAGGCCCAGCCGGGGTCCTTCAGCCTAGGCCTGGCTCTTGCCCACCTGCTGCTGCGGCTGGCACAGAGAGGCAGTCATCCTGGCCTCCCCGTGCCCTGGGCGCAGGCATCCATTGGCTCTCCCTGGGACCTAAATTCCAGGTCTCTAGCTCAACCTAGAGACCTCCGGCAGGAGGGAGAAGCCGCTGTTGAGCGAGTGATGAACCACCTCCGAGGCCAGCTTTCCGGAGAACAAGACATCCGCCAACTTCGCTGTTTGCACTGGCGAGGAGGACGCTGAGCGTTCACCCAAGCACAGCCCGCTGCCTCTTTCCCTTTGTGTTCCCGAGCGGCCCGACACACGACCAGGGCTAGTCGTGCGTCGAGATTGCCGCTCCGCCCAGAGTTAGCAGAAGAGAGGAAAGTTGGAAGCGATCGGCGCGCTTGGGATGTGATTGTCATCCTGGGGCCGGCGCTCGAGAGTCTGAGAAAGAGAAGAGAGGAAGAGTCGGGGAGGGAGGAGGGGGAGGCCGGGCAGAGGAGGAGAGGGGGGCGGCGGAGGAGAGGCGGGCGCTAGGGAGGGGCGAGGGGAGCGCCAGTGAGCGGGAGAGGAGCCGGGGTGGAACAGGGAGAGGGCGAGGCGCGCCTGGCGGCCGGGTTGGCTGCGGCCGCCCAGAGGCTCCTGCCAGTCCCCCCACCGACTACACCCCGGGAAGGAGGAGCTTCGCGCGCGCACAAGGCGTCAGAATCCTCAATTTCCAACTTAGCATCTTGGCAGGACCTTTGCAAAGCCAAAAGCAGAGCCCCCCGGTGCAAAGAGCGAGGGGGGGTGGGGGGAGAGAAAGCCTAGCCCGGGCAAGCGGGGCGCGCAGAGGAGCGGGCGCGGCGGTGGCAGCCGGAGGCGCGCGGGAAGCCAACCAGGAGGCGCCGCGGGCCGGAGCCCGGGAGCCGGGGCTCGAAGAGCTGCGGCCCGGGGCAACGAGAGGCCAGGTGCCCGCTCGCTCGCCCTCGCAGGGCGCCGCCCGGCTCGTTGGCCGCCGCGGCGCGGCGCGCCCCATGCCCGTGTGTGGCCATGTCCTACCCGCAGGGCTACTTGTACCAGCCGTCCGCCTCGCTGGCGCTCTACTCGTGCCCCGCATACAGCACCAGCGTCATTTCGGGGCCCCGCACGGATGAGCTCGGCCGCTCGTCTTCGGGCTCCGCATTCTCGCCCTACGCTGGCTCCACTGCCTTCACGGCTCCCTCGCCGGGCTACAACTCGCACCTCCAGTACGGCGCCGACCCCGCGGCTGCAGCCGCCGCCGCCTTCTCGTACGTGGTGAGTGAGCTGGGTCCGCGGCGGGCGGGCAGCGGGGCCAGGCCTGCAGACCCGGGCTGCGGGAGACATGGGCCTAGGCGCCACCTCGTCCGCCCAGCTTCGCGGCCCTTGCAAACTTGAGCAATTGTCTTGCTCGCCTTCACCCGAGCCTTGGGCTCCCGAGTAGCTCCGGCAAGAGCCGCGTCTCGCTCGCTGGGGTTGCCGAGCTGAAGAAGGGAAGGGTTTGGGGGGGTTGGTCCTCACTCTTAAAGAGCAACATTTGTCTCAAAGCTCTGGGCTAACCCGCAAATTTCTTTTGGTTTTTTTCTTTTTGTTTTGCCATTTTGGAAAAGTAGTTCAAAAGAAGCAGAACCGAATTCTGAACAGTAGTAGCATGCAAAATCTATGTAAATGTGTTTGGCCTCGCCTTTAATTAATCCTCCAAAATGTTGCAAATCCGTAATCCTATCTTCGCAATCCGATTTAGAAGTATTAAATTCTGAAACGTCCAGCGAGCTGCGGTGTATCCGGGTTTTTTCGGCCGGGTGTGCTTTCTGGAAAAGCGCAACGGTTTCGGTTAGGGATAGCATTTTTGTACCGTCGGTGAGCAGACTAAAGCTCAGCTTGCCCTTAGAGTTTCTTTGAGGATTAAAGAAAGAGCCTTGACTTCCCTTATTGTACCCCCTTGCGCCCAACGTGCGGCCGCCCTGGTGTAGAGCTCCCAGGCTGCTCAGGCCTCTACGTGAACCGTGGGCCCTGCGGCAGAGGCCAGATCTAAGTAAGCCCTGGGCACCGACGTTTCCCAGCAGATGAGGGCCTCTAAGGTGGTTTGCCAAGCCCTGAACAGCCTCAGGGATCCTGAAGGACCAGATTTAGAAATTGGGGGGCCCACTGCCTTCTGAGGAGGGGGAGGGAGTCACTCTTGCGTTTGAATCAGCCAGCTCTGTCTGCCTCAGGGGAAGCTGGAGTGCGGGCCGCGCTGGCATGCAGACCCAGGGACAGAGGGAAAGTAGGTTTCAACCTTTTAGGTGGCGGTGAAGCCCACATCCCCCCCACCACTCACCTAATCTCTGCCTATCCCCCCGCCTCGCAGGGCTCTCCCTACGACCACACTCCTGGTATGGCGGGTTCCTTGGGGTATCACCCTTACGCGGCGCCTCTGGGCTCCTACCCTTACGGGGACCCCGCGTACCGGAAGAACGCCACTCGGGACGCCACCGCCACGCTCAAGGCCTGGCTCAACGAGCACCGCAAGAACCCGTACCCCACCAAGGGCGAGAAGATCATGCTGGCCATCATCACCAAGATGACCCTCACCCAGGTGTCCACCTGGTTCGCCAACGCCCGCCGGCGCCTCAAGAAGGAGAACAAGATGACGTGGACGCCACGGAACCGCAGCGAGGACGAGGAGGAGGAGGAGAACATTGATCTGGAGAAGAATGACGAGGACGAGCCCCAGAAGCCCGAGGACAAGGGCGACCTCGAGGGCCCCGAAGCAGGTTGGTGGATACGGGAAAGGGTGTGTTGAGCGGGACTTTAAAGGCAAAGGGGGCCTGGAGGGGGCGCGCACGGGTCCCTGCTTCTGCAGGCAGGAACCGGGGCCCCGCCGCGTGGCCTCCACGCCTCTGACAGCCTGGGTTTCACCCACAGGAGGAGCAGAACAGAAGGTTGCTGCGGGCTGCGAAAGGCTGCAGGGGCCGCCCAGCCCCGCCGGCAAGGAGACGGAAGGCAGCCTCAGCGACTCGGATTTTAAGGAGTCGCCCTCCGAGGGCCGCCACGATGAGCTGCCCAGGCCCCCGCGTGCAGGCGGGCAGTCCCCAGCCGGGCCCGCAACCGCGCGTCTGGCAGAGGACGCTGGTCCTCACTACCCCGCGGGCGCGCCGGCGCCTGGCCTGCACCCATCGGCCGGAGAGCTGCCCCCTGGCTCGGGCGGGCCCTCAGTCATCCACTCGCCACCTCCACCTCCGCCGCCGCCTCCGGCCGTGCTCGCCAAGCCCAAACTGTGGTCTCTGGCAGAGATAGCCACTTCCTCGGACAAGGTCAAGGACGGGAGCGGAGGGAGCGAGGGCTCTCCGTGCCCACCGTGCCCCGGGCCCGTGGGCGGGCAAACCCTTGGAGGCAGCCGCGCGTCTCCTGCCCCAGCGCCCGCGCGCTCGCCCTCGGCGCAGTGTCCCTTTCCGGGCGGAACGGTACTGTCCCGGCCGCTCTATTACACCGCGCCCTTCTATCCTGGCTACACGAACTATGGCTCCTTCGGACACCTTCACGGCCACCCAGGGCCAGGCCCAGGCCCCACAGCGGGTCCTGGCTCTCATTTCAATGGATTAAACCAGACGGTGTTGAATCGAGCGGACGTTTTGGCTAAAGACCCGAAAATGTTGCGAAGCCAGTCTCAGCTAGACCTGTGCAAAGACACTCCCTATGAATTGAAGAAAGGTATGTCCGACATTTAACTCGGGTGCGGTACTCCCGGACTTTCCTAATTTATTAAAACCATGGCCTTGGCAGTTATTTTTCCATCACCGAGAGAGAAAGAGAAAGAAAAAATAAACTACCCCTCTTATTCAGAAGTTTATAGTTTATGGAGGTGGATGACATAAAAATGTATACATCTCCACACTCGAAAAAATTGTTTTAGCCAACTGAAAAGAAAAAAAAACTTAAGAGGATTTGTATTAAATCTTATTCTGTATATTTAATGTAGCATTTTTGTATTTAAATTGATAATTCAGTATCTTTGAAGTAAATTATGAAATCAAGACACCTGTACAGGCATTTAATGTTTTTTGTAATATAAATATATACATTTGTGTTCCCCCAAACTGTTTCATAGTTTAAAAATACAAGTTTAATTTAATTTTTTACACCTATTGATTTTTTCTGGGTATGAGCTAAAGTATTATTACAGAAAGAAAACAGGTTATACTCTTAGATTTTAAAAAGTAAAAGAAACTGCAGTGGTCTTTGTAAAATGCAAAATATTTAATTAAAGGAGATTTTAACATAATCAGAGCCACTCATTACTTCTCAGAAGCCTCAATAAATTGTCAATTGCCTTGGTCAAAAGGTGCAAC